AAAAATGTCCCTATTATTGATTTATAGTAAAAGGACAAAAATGTCCCAATTAAATTGTGTGATATAAAAGTAATGACATTTGTATAAAATATTGGAAGTTATAAGATTATTAATTATACTATGTATGTAGTACAATAACTAAATTGGGAAATGATATCTTTGTTTTGGGACAAATAAAAATAGAAAATGATATCCTTTGTATGAACAGAGGGAGTATGTTAATTTTAGTTTAAATAATATTTTAATACGATAGTTTAGTTTGTAGTAAAAAAAAATAAGTTTTGAATAGTATCTAAATAAAATTGAATCTAAATAATTATTTAATATGATATAAATATGTATTAATATAATATTTTATATATATATAAATTTAATTTTTAATATATTATAAAAAATAATTATTTGATTTGATTTTTTTTTAAAAAAAGAATTACAAATAGTAAAAAAAATCCTTCTGAAACTATCAATAAATTAAATATACTTTATATTAAATTACGTAAATGATTGTCTTACTTCAAAGTTATACATTATTTATTTATTTATTGAAATTGTTTGTCCAAGTAAATTGTATGTCGTAGAACAATTCAGTAAATACCAAATAACATAAATTATTGTAAGTTAATGTCTTATTTTGAGTAATTAACAATCTTAGGTTAATGTAAACAATTAAGGGTTCTCATCTTTTCATTATTAAATTTAAGATTTTACACATTTATTTATGTAAGAGATTGATCTTCTATACATAAGAAAATGTAAAATTCATTATCAAAAGATAACTAAAAAATAAAAAATAAAATCAATCACTAGAAATATATTTTTCATTTTGCCTTTGCCTATAAACATATCCTCCTATCCAAATACACACAAAATAAAAATAAAAAAAATTCAACAATGATTAATTTGTTCATCTTCAAAATTTTACCAAATATATGAGTAAATTCTACAAAGATAAAATAAGGAACATTGTTTTTCACCCAAAAGTCCACTCAAAAAGCCATTGTATGAGTTTAAACTTTTGATGTCTCAAAATTTTATTTGCTACACATGATTTTCTTAGTGTGATTTGTTTTTTCGAATTTAACTTACAGACTATTAGATTCGATCAAAGTTTATTTAGAGTATACTCGAAAAATAACGACGGTATATAATAATGGTATATATATTTATATAGATACAAAACACATCAATCTAGGGGTGAGCAAAATATCCAAAATTTGAAAATTCAATCCGAACCAAACCGAAATTTAAAATTTAGTTCGGATTTTTCGGATTGAATTTTTAACAAATTTTGAATTTTCGGATCGGATCGGTATACTTAAAATCCGAACCAATCCGAAATCCGAAATATAATATTTTAATATATTTTTTTATTATACATATTTAATATTTTATTAAAAATATTATATTTTATTATAAAAAACTCAAATTTATTGATTATATTTTAATATTATATATATATATTTAACATTATAAAATAATAATAAAATATAAAAGAAATTTAAAAATTAAAAAAAAATAAAAATATTTAGAATTTCTGATTTTTCGGTTTGGTTCGGATTACGAATTTTCGAATTTCGAATTTCAGTTATTTCAGTTCGGTTCGGTTCGGATTGGTTTTTTCAAAAATTTCGAATTCTCGGATCCGAATGTTCACCCCTACATAAATCAATCAATCAAAATTGGTCTTGCAATGGGTGACGCAGCCAATCATATTCAAAGAACATACCAGAATTCTATTTGGAGGTAGTCACGTACTCACTTTCATAAAAAATGACAATTTTAACAATGATCCATTTTAGCATCTTTTTGTATTCTTTTATCATTCTTGTGCTATTTTTAATTTTTTATAAGAAAAATGTTGGTCTTGGTCTCGTATGCATTTCAATTCATAACATCTTCTTTGTGCATTTAGGATAAGAATAAATTTAAAAAATTCACACAAAATGAATCATATATGACGAAGATATCGAAAATTTAAATTCATTCTACACTATTAAATCATCCCTTATTCGACCGTCATGTTTAAAAATAGGCCTAGTGGTCTTCTCAAGAATTGCATATGAGTATGACATAGAATAGTTATTTATTAATTATTATTATTATTTGAAAGTCAAATCAAATAGTATTTGAGTTTAAGTTTTTATACTTTAAAAAAGTGTTGAATATTTGATATTGAAACTCTTTTTATTTATAAAGTGGCAATAATATTAAGGACTAATCGACGATGAAGAAAACAAAACCCGAAGGAATTTAGGGTTTAAACTTCTTGATGTTTCTTAATAAGGCCTATGCCCTAAATTCTTTTTCTTTTTTTTTTTTTTTTTTCCTCTGCTCTTTCTTTTATAAAATTGTGTTTTCTATGACAAAGTGAGTTCTTGTTTTATTAGAGTTCTTTCACATACACACGCTTAACTTTAAGAGTTTTGCTATATTCCCTTTCACATTAGTATCTTGATCAAGATTGTTGTTTTCTCTTGTTTTTTTTAATTTCAGAACAAAAGTTATTCTGAATTACGTTCTCTCTCTATGGGAGACGAGAGAATCCGCAAACATACTTCGAATTCGATTTGAAACCCAACGGAAGTGGTTTTAATATTATTTTGATGTTTCCTATACATATATACTAATATTTATTTAAATCTTTTTAAATGCACACGAGAGAGAGTGGCCGGATGATCGGACGACAGTGAGGCGCGGCGAGGGGTAGTGATAATATGGTACCTCTTGGAGCTCTCGCTTGACGTTCTCGAGGCCTCCGATCATATCCGGCTTGAGAATCTCGGAGGTTCGATAGTTCGGACCGCCGCTGAAGAACGAGGCCACGCGTGGCGACGACGGAGTTTTGTTTTGCAAATTAATTGAAGAATTTGGATTTTTAATATTTTAAACGAGATAATTATCCTTTCACGAGTTTTATTTATTATGATAAATTAAACTTTACATCCATTTTTTTCGTAAACTTTATTTAATTTTTCACCAAATTAGATTTTTTCTAATAAAAAAACTTTTAATACGGTTTTCGATTTATATTAAAAAAATATAATATATATAGTTTTATACAAAATATATACTCCCTCCGTCCCGCAAAATTAGTTGCGTTTCTTTTTTGCGCGGAGTTTAAGAAAATTTGGTTTATATAGTTAATTAGTGTGATTAGTTAGTGTAATATATGTAATAAAATGTTATTTTAACTATTTTATTTGATGAAATATTGAAATAAAAGTTGAAATATTTTATTTTATTTTATTTAAATTAAATTTTTTATTTATTGATTTTTTTAAAAAATATTATTATATTGATTGTAAAGTATGCAATTAGATAAAATTTTTTTTTTTAATAATTTAAATACAAAAATAACAACAGTAATACTAAAATTTTTAATATAAACAAAACATCAAATTTTTCGAATTTGATTGTTGGTAGGGATAGTTCGATATTACATACTAAAAATTATAACGCATATTTTATATATCGTACCAAAATTTTTAGTATGCTATTTTATCATAATGAGATATTGTACCAATAATTTGGTATACTGAATATATAAATGAAAAAATACTGAATTACAGAAATAACACATACCATACTAAAAAATACAGAAAATGCCAAATTTCAGTATACCGAATTTTTATTTTGTATGGTATGGATATTTTTTTTAATATACCAAAAAATTTGGTGTGGTATACAATATAGTTCGGTCTTATCCGAATACAGTATCGAGTAATTTCTAATCAAATTACATGTATGGTATCAGAATATAATATTTTACGCTGAAATATAAAAAACAAAATTATTTTACAATTTAAAAAATATATTAGAAAATTAATTATTTTAGTATCGATATACTAAATTATTGATATAGACCGAGATATCAAATACTAAAATATCAAACTGAATTTATATTTTCGGTATATATTATACCAACAATGCTAAAAGTATATGCAATTTTCATATTAAAAATATTTGGTACGGTATCATACCATATATAAATTTATGATATAAAAAAATACTTTAAATTTTATTTTTCATATATAATATAAAAAAATACTTTAAAATTAAAATACAAATTAATACACCAGTCAAATAAATTTAAATTATTAATCTATTTAAAATATTATTAGTAATATAATTAAATATAAATAAAATTAATTATTATAAATAAAATATTATATTTTTATAGAACCAATAAAACATAATTTAAATATAAATATATATATACACATATAATATTAAAAAAAAGAAATTATTTTTTTATTAGGTAGGAGGGTACAATGGTAAAATGTGAAATTTAAATAAGGTAAGTTTTTAAATAAATTTAAAAAAAGATTTAAATAAGGTAAATTTTAAATAAATTTAAAAAAAAAGTTAAAATTATGGTAAGAGATTTTAAATAAAACAAGTTTTCAAATAAATTTTAGAAAAAAAGTTAAATAAGGTAAGTTTTCAAATAAATTAAAAAAAGAATTAAAATTATGGTAAGAGATTTTAAATAAGATAAGTTTTCAAATAAATTAAAAAAAAAGAGTGAAATAAGGTAAGTTTTCAAATAAATTTAAAAAAAAAGCAAAATAAGGTAAGTAGCCGTTATTAGATTTAAATAAGGTAAGTAGCCGTTATTAGATTTAAATAAGGTAAGTTTTCAAATAAATTTAAAAAAAACTAAATAAGGTAAGTAGCCGTTATTGTAATTATATAAGGTAAATTTTCAAATAAATTTAAAAAAAGCTAAATAAGGTAAGTAGCCGTTATTATAATTAAATAAGGTAAGTTTTCAAATAAATTTAAAAAAAAGCTAAATAAGGTAAGTAACCGTTATTATAATTAAATAAGGTAAGTTTTCAAATAAATTTTAAAAAAGCTAAATAAGGTAAGTAGCCGTTATTGTAATTATATAAGGTAAGTTTTCAAATAAATTTAAAAAAAACTAAATAAGGTAAGTAGCCGTTATTTTAATTATATAAGGTAAGTAGCCGTTAATCCATACATTATAAATATTCATGATTTGGGTGGAGGGGCTGCAATGCGATGGGGTGCAAGTTGGTCTTGGAGCAGGGCAGAGGTGGGGTGGGGGAGGAATGAATTACGAAGAGGTGGGGGTGGGGTACGAGTTGGCCTTGGAGCAGGCAGGGGGGGTGGGGTGGGGAGGAATGAATTACAAAGAGGCAGGGGTGGGGTACGAGTTGGCCTTGGAGCAGGGCAAGGCAGGGGTGGGGAGGAATGAATTACGAAGAGGTGGGGGTGGGGCTGCTTACAGGAGAGGGCGAGGGTCAAGTGTTCTTGGATCTCGATCGAAGCAATCTTGGTGAGTCATTTCTGATTCTTTTAATTCTCCATGTACTGCGAGTTTGAGTTCTTACGATTGCTTATCATTTTGCATCGATCGATCCTTCCTGTTTTAAGATCAAGAAGCTGCTTTGGCTGTTCCGGAAACCATAAATGGTAATTTGAATTTCAATCTCTGATTTAATATATTACTCAAGATTTTAATATGAAAGTTTGTTTATCTTGATTGACTAATTAGACCATACATACCTCATTTGAAATCATGTAATTTCTTAAGTTATTCGGTATTATTATTCTTCAACTTGTTGATATATTATTGTTCATTATGTTCTAGGCTATTAGATGCACAAGGTAACGCGAGGATCCGCGAATATCCTTCGAACTCGAAGGATATCCTATAACAGGGAGTGTCTCCTACCTTTTCTTTTAATTTACGCTTTAAATTTATTTTATTTTCTTGCATATCCCGGGACTTGCATGCATTAATTTTGTTCCTAAATTTTATACTAACTTGTTTTTTAAGTGTTTTTATTTTGTAGGTAAAGCTTATGGGAGACGAGAGGATCGGCGAATATCCTTCGAACTCGAAGGATATCTCATAATAGGGAGTATCTCCTACTTTTTCTTTTAATTTACGCTTTCCATTTATTTTATTTTCTTGCATATCCCGGGACTTGCATGCATTAATTTTGTTCCTAAATTTTATACTAACTTGTTTTTTAAGTGTTTTTATTTATTAGGTAAAGCTTACGGGAGACGAGAGGATCCGCAAATATCATTCGAATCCGATTTCAAACTCAAGGTAAATGATGGTTTTAATATTTTTTTATTTTTTCCTATGCATATATATACTAATATTTATTCTAAATCTTTTTAGATGCATACGAGAGGGAGTGGCCGGATGATCGGACGACCGAATATATCATATGGAGTAATTCGTCCCTTTCCTTTTACATTGATGCATTTAATTTAATTTAGCATTATGTATATAGAAATAGATTTATTTTTACGTCGGTCCCGAGACATGTATGCATTTTATTTTGTTGCTTTTAGCGTTTTGAGTTTGTAGGTAAAGCTTATAGCGAGATTAGAGGATCCGCAAAGATCCTTCGATCTCGATTTCAAACACATGGTAAGTGGTTTTAATATAATTTTGTTCTTTCCTATGCACATATATTAATATCTATTTGAAATATTTTTAGATGCATACGAGAGAGAATGGTCGGATGATCCACCGAACATATAACAGGGAGTTTTTCGTTATTTTTCTTTTACATTTATGTTTTGCATTTGTTTTAGCTTCTTGCATATAGTAATAGAATCATGTTTACGTCCCGGGACTTGTATGCATTAATTTTTTTAAAATTCTTAATTATCAATAAACATATTTTTTCCTAACTATGTCAATTTAGACTAATATAACTTATTTTCTAATTAAAAAAAACACAAAATTTAATTAAAACTTAATATAAAAAATGTGGGCTGGCCTGGCCCGGTATAATTTGAAACCGGGTTATGCCTTGGTTTGGGTTTTCAAGCCCAATCCAGAATCAGGCCGGGCCTATTAGGCTTGAATTTTAAAACAACCCAAGACAAACCAAAAGATATTACTCTGTTCCTCGCAAAAAATGCACTTATTTTTTGCATGTCGGAATGAGTAACATCAGCCTGAAATTGCCACATTTTATTTTTTTTTGCTAAATATGATGTCTACTTTCTCAAATTATAGAAGCGACATACCTTAAAATTTGAATACACCGATATGCTGAAGAATCAACTTGACTTCGACGGCCCTCTGCTCCAGCAGCCAGTCGGGATCCTCGGCAGTTTTCGGTTGCAAATCCAAGTGATGGGCACCTACCAACCAACCAAGACAATAATATGAATGTAATTTGCACATAATTAAACACCATACATACTGACGCTTAACTTTTAACACGACATAAATGTTGAACTCTCGTAATCTCTCCTTAATGTTAGTAGCTCACTTACTAACTACCCAAACTACTAAGTTCATCTGTGTAAACTTATAATTACACTCAAATACACCACTGAACTCTACATGCATAAAAGCATGGAATAAGACACCTCTCAAACTCCTATTTCACCAGAAGATTTATTTTATTGCATAATATTTATTGAAACAACGATAAAAGCAAAATAATGATGTTTAATTAGGGCAGCAAAGATTGAAACCTGGTTCTAGTGCAGTTACCTTTTTATGTTACAAGAGCTACAATGGTTTCTGATACAGACTCCAAAACACTGCAACAATATCATCAGTTTTGTCAAGAATCAGTAGTCGATGACTATTATACATACACAGATAAACAGCAAAGATCTTACCTTCCGCCGCTTCAGGGGTCCAATAGCCCATTGGAGAAAATGATATTGCTTCCAAAGTTTCCCAGGACTTTCTTGAATCCCTTTATTATTGAAAAAATTGAAAGAAAGAAGGGTTAATCACTTTTGAAGTCCCTCGTGTGACAATCTAGCCTATAGTACTTAAAAAATTAACAATATAATCCTTGTGTTCGACATTTGTCATTTTCTCCATTCACTGGTATGTTGGCTAACAAGGAAAATCACATTCACTGGTATGTTGGCTAACAAGATCGCTGGCAACAAAATTGGCAAGAAACAGATCACTCCACAAGTCCAAATGAGTTCTAAAAGACGTAATAACACTGCTGAAACAAGATAATCATAAACGAAACATATCCTTACACTCGTATCACGCTATTATCATTGTTGCAAGTGACATGGAACCAAGTGCAGGGGTTCACAAGAGTCGGGTCCCAGCTCTGTAACACGTTGTTCGGATCCTCTAAATTCGTCCTAAGACTATGCAAAGTATCACCTATCAAACACAAAAACCCGAAGTTCAGATCCCAAAAATACAATCCTCCCATAAGATGTACAATTTCATCCCAAAACTCAACCCGAACCCCATCATCGGCGTCACTGGTATCGACTAACACACCCTAATCCCATTCAATACAAACCAAATTCGAATCCATTCTAGTACAAACAAACAATAAGTTAAATCCCAAGACTTATAACCCTAAATTCAGATCCCAAAAATACAATCCTCCCATAAAATGTGCAATTCCATCCCAAAAACTCAATTCGAATTTCGAATGTCATCATCAGCATCACCGGTATCGAATAACATTCCCTAATACCATTCAATACAAACCAAATTCAATCCATTCCAGTACAAACAAACAATAAGCTAAATTCCAAAACTTATACCCTCCCCCACCCCCAAATTAGGCAATACACATCTGTCAAGACATATTACTCAATAATGTGAATAGCAGCAACACAGTAAAAAGGAACCAAAATTCACAACCACAAAAGCATTCCAAAAAAGGCTATACAGCAATCCTAAAACGATAACAACAGCATTTAATGTTAGCACTTGAACATAGATTCCAGTAAAAGCATAAATTCTCCCAAACTTAACCAAATTAATGATCTATAGAAAAATCTCAAACTAAACCTAGAATATGAAAACAAACAATCATCGAAAAAACGAATCGGTAATCAAATCAACAAGTAGCAAAGAGAACCTTCCATATTAGCATCGGTTAAAACCACCAAATGCACTACCGCCACAATCAGCCACACCGCCATTGACGCCGCCGCCGCCATTACTTCTCCTTCCGTCCGCCGTCTCATTCACTCATCCCTACGCATAAACAACAAATCAGGCAACAAACACGATAATGCTTCAGATCCAAAAAATTATAAACCAAACCCTCGAAAGCCTACAATTGCAACCGAAACCGCTCGACATTGCTCAAACCGATCCAGGCGGCAATTGTGATTGTTGCTGTAGTGTTCACTTCAGGCAATCCGAAGTCTCCGAGCTGTGTAAGGACTGTATGATCTTCTTCTTCTGCTGCCGCCTCTTCTTCATTCCTCCTTCCGTAACCGCTTTTAATGGCTCTCTGCTACACTGTTTTGTTTTTTCCCCTCTGCAACGTACTTTGCTTTTCTCCACCTCTCTCTCTCTGTCTCTCTCTGGAAGTATCTGGAAGTAGTGTGTGTGAGAGAGTGAAGTATCCTCGAGCGTGGGATAATTATCATTTTTCTTTTTGGGCGCTGGCGCGAGAGTGTGTGTGAGAGAGAGAGAGCAGCGTTTTTTCTTTTAGGGTGAGTTTGTTTGGGAAATTGAATTATATTTCTATTATTCAATTTTTTTTTTTTCTAAAAATATTAAATTAAATATTTATTTTTTATTTTTTATATTATACTAAAAATCAATTTTACATTTAAAATATCACATCAACGCTTATTTATATCACATCATACAACTATTCAAATTCAAAATTTTTATTATTCAAATCCCAACTCAAAATCTAAATCCCAAAACAAACACACCCCTATTTTATCCGATTTTTTGCTTTTTAAAATTTTTTAATTATATCATTTTAATTATTTCGATTAAAAATATTGTATTTTTTATTAACTAGCAAAAAAAATGTACTTTTTATTTTTTGGTATAAAAGATAAAAAATGCGTACTAAATTAAAATTTCTATATAGAAATATTTTTTTTATGGAAACAAAAATTAAAACATCTCAAACATAGGCTGCAATTAGGGCCGAAAAACGAATCATATCGGGTCGGTTCAAGTTCGGATCAGCTTTAAACTGGTTATAAAATTTTGATCTGAACCTGACCCATTTAATTAAATTGGTTAATTTTGCAATTTTAATTGGCATTTTATTAATGGGGTCAACTTAGATCTAACTTGTATAATCCGTTTAAGTCTAAAATTTTTAAATATTAATTTAAAATTACGATATCTACTAACAAAATTTTCAAATGCATAATATATACATATTAAAGCAAAAAACTATTTATTCATATCATGAAATCGATATTCAAAAATTGAATTAACAAACACTACGTAATAGCACACAACACAATCATGTATTTTTTTTTTCTTTTTTAATGTTATACTATACGTAGTATATTTTATTAATATTTATTATGTGTTATATATTGTATTGTGTTGGAGTATAATATTTATTATGTGGATTATATTTATTATAGTTATCTTATTTTAAAAAAAAATTGTAGAATTCTTATTTTAATGGTTTGTTTGTCATTATAAATATGTACGAATTTTTAAATAAAAATAATAATAATTTCAATTTCATTTTCTAATATGGTATAAGATCTTATTTTTCTTTTAAATAGACATAGCTTGGTAACCTTCGTTTATTCAAATACATTCAACTTAGAATGCACCCGGAGGTCTCCGATTTCGAGATATGTCTGCATTTTGCATTGGAATTTGTGTTTGTCTTAAAGTTTGAACCTGCGTTTGAGAACAGAAGTTTCCTTTAGATAGACGGAGACAATGTCGGATGAGCAACTATTATATACGAGAACAAAAGCTCAGTCGGGAGCGACGACAGCAACGATGGACAAAACAATTGTTATTTGCGTTTGTATTAGAATTTTAGTCTGTGTTCGAGAACATAAGCTTGGTTGAGAGTGAGAGAGGCAACGTCGGATGAGTTCCAAAACAGAAGCTCAGTCAAAAGCGGCGGCGGCAACGACGGACCAAACAACTGTTATTTGTATTTGCGTTAGAGTTTCTGCCAGCTTTTGAGAGAAATAACTTAGTTCAGAGTGGCAAAGGCGACGTCGAACAAACAACTTTTATGCGTGAGAACATGAACTCAATCGGGAGCGACGACAGCAACGACGGACCAAACAATGTATATTTATTTCATATCAAATAAGTATTTCAATTCAAATTTTACTATTCAAAGCTAAAACTTTACAAATAACAAACCAAAATTTTATTCAAACTTTTTATTCAAAAAAAAGTTCTCTTTTTAAGTTTGGATACAAATCATATTTTTTATTGAATTTTATTTTTTTTTATCAAATTATATATAATATTATAAAAATAATAATTATTTAAAATATCGCATTAAATATATATTTATATGTAAAATATGAAACAACATAAAATTTTCAGAACTTTTATATATATAAAAAAGAAAAAAAACATAAGAACCAATAGTAATTATAACAATAATAACTGATTTGTATGGTTTTAGTTTTTATTTAAATTTTAATTTAAATAATAATCCAATTTAATTAAAAAAAATTATAATATTTATGTTCTAACTTAAAATATTTTTTTTACTTTTTTTTTATATTTTACTTAAAAGTATCTATTTTATAAAAATAATCATTCATTAATTTCTACTTAAATTACAAATATATTATTATACTTATAATTATTTAAAGTCAAATGACAAAAATATTAAAATTTCTTATATTTTCATTAACTAATGAAATATTATTCTCTCATTCCAACTCAAAGTAACTTTTTATACCATTTTTATTTGTCTTATTCATAATTAATTATTTCATATTTAAAAAAAATTATCATATACTAATATTAAAATACCCTTACTTTTTACTTAAATTACAAACATACAATTACTTTATAAATAAAGTTATTAGACAAAAAAATATAAAAAATCTCTTACACATTTTACTGAACATAAGCTCGTAACTGTGAGGTTACGAGTTCAAACTCCCACGTCTCCAGGATTTGTAGGTTGAGCCGAAAATTTAACCAAAACAGATTTGGAGAATAACACGTACATAATGAGACGAACAAAAACGGCAATGTCCAACGTGGATTTTATCATTTTTTTTTTCATTTTTAGTCCTCCGGCGCCGAAGACGCCCACGTGGCTTGCCGGAGGCCACGTGTACACTAGGTGTCGCTGACCTGCCGGACACGTGGATTTTATCATTTTTTTTTTCATTTTTTTTAAATTTATTTTTAATTTTATTTGTTTTTTTATTTTTTTTATTTAAGTCAATTGAAAAAAAAAATTAAAAAAAAAAAAATTTACGTGTCCGCCACGTGTCGCTGACCTGGCGGAACACCTGGCGGACACGTGAATTTTGGCGAGCCACGCAGGCGTCTCCGACGCTAGAGGACTAAAACATCGAAAATTTTCCACTGTTAAGACTAGTTTGCGACATGCTCCACTTGCGGGACTAAAATGATAAGGGGGTCCAGTTACGGGACTAAAAAACAGTTTGCGAACAATTATAACTAAATTTGGCCACCAATCATCTAAAATAATCTAATAGTATATGGTAAACTTGTGATGCCGAAATTTATCAAGCACATTCGAATAGTAACATTTACTATTACGATGTCATAAAAAAAATCAGTATATATGGTGAATTGTTTTAAATTGAGACACAAAGTATGTTTGTTTTGTATTTCAAATAAAAGTTTTACTAACACTAAAATCTTCAATGTGATGCGTTTTTAAATTGGATCAAGATTTAATTTGATATTTTTTAAAAAATTACTATTAATAATAATATTTTCAAATATCAGACTTAATATATTCTTTTGTTTTATAATATATTAAAAATAATAATTTTTTATTAATTAGCAAAATATATCAAATAATTCTGATATTTTAAAAATATATGTTTTTATAAAATTTATGAGTATTCTAATGTGTATATATGAATCATTTTTACTATAGTAAATATACAAAAAAGAAAAAAAGTATTAAGCTACTAACAAGCCGCGGCTCCAACAATATTATTATTATTATTCCCTCCGTTCAATAATAAAGTATTCATTTTTTTATTTTAGTCCGTCTCATAACAAAATATCCATTTTTTTTAGTAACTGTACTATCTACATAACATTATAAATATTCTTCAACTTACAATATATTACACAAATATCATTACCTTTGTATCACAAATACTAATAAGGTTATTTTAGTCATTTTTATTTTATTCCTACTCCAAATATAATACTAATATTTCTAAAACTACGTGCAAAAAACAAATTTGTATATTTAATTATGAGACAGATGGAGTATTATTTTCAAGTGTAAAAATTGAAAATTTTATGAGATAAAAAAAATATATAGAAAACACAGAATTTAAATAATAAAATTTGAAAATTTTTGATTGAAGAAATATACCCATTTGAACTATTGAACAATTTTGCTTTTCAAAATTGGGAAGGTAGGTTCGTCATTGTGGCTGGCCAACTGAATTGTTCCACCACCTTAAATAACATAGGCTTTGTTTATATATATATATATTGAAAATTTTGATATTATCGATGAATAATATTTTTTTAAAAAAATTAAATATATCTATCCATTTGTACAAAATATTTCATAAACTTTATTTGATTTTGATTTGAAATTGATTTAAAATAAAATATTATTAATTTTAATTTTTATTAAAATAGCATTTTAATATAATATTTTTATATAAAAAATGTATTTTTTTTATTGAAAATATGAATAATATTGATTTCTATTCAAAATCATGATCGAATAAACCTCAAATACTTAATTTTTTATTGTTTATAAAATATTTCAAAATTTCTAGCTAAAATTTCTATATAAAAGTAAGATTTTTCATTTCTTTGAGATTGATTTGAAAATATTTGATTTAAGTTTTCTATTCAAATAAATTTTATGAGATATTTATAATTTTTTTGAAAAAACAAAAAATTCAAATAATGAAATTAAAAATAAAATAAAATAAAGAGGCACCGACTCCACTCGACCGAACCCTAGCATGGACAGCCCGGGCCCATGCCCGACCACAAATTTTTAGGCGTCCTTCTTAATTCGATTAATTATAGAATTTACCTATAAATAATGCATATTAGAAATTTAGATCCTAGAAACATGTTCAAATTGTATCTATAAGCCAATAGGCCACTTTTTAAAATAATCAAACTTACCCGTAAGAATGATCAAATTATTGTACTATGTAAAATTATGACATTGAAGTCATAGGATTTTCAAAACAATCAATTTACATAATAAAAATAAGCAGTACAAATCAATAAAATTACTGAACAATTAAATAAATAAATCAAAATTTCTATAAAAAAAAATGGGAAAAAATCAATTTTGGTCCCAATATAATCAAAATTAATCAATTTTGGCCCAAATATAAAAAATTCATCAATTTTGGTCCCAATATAACCAAAATTTATCAATTTTGGTCCCAATATAAACAACTCGTCAATTTTGGTCTCAATATAAACAATTTCAATCAATTTTAGTCTCATTATAAACAATTTTATCAATTTTGGTCCCACCGTTAAAAAACTAACGGAAATTGCATGTATGGTCTACAATATAGTTCGGTCTTATCCGAATACAGTATCGAATCATTTCTAATCGAATTACATGTATGGTATCAGAATATAATATTTTACGCTGAAATATAAAAAACTAAAAATTATTTTACAATTTTAAGAATATATTAGAAAATTAATTATTTTAGTATCGATATAGACTGAGATATCAAATACTAAAATATCAAACTGTATTGATATTTTCGATATATATTATACCAACAATGCTAAAAGTATATGCAATTTTCATATTGAAAATATTTGGTACGGTATCATACCATATAAAAATTTATGATATAAAAAATACTTTAAAATTAAAATACAAATTAATACACCAGTCAAATAAATTTAAATTATTAATCTATTTAAAATATTATTAGTAATATAAATAAAATTACTTATTATAAATAAAATATTATATTTTTATAGAACCAATAAAACATAATTTAAATATAAATATATATATATACATATAATATTCAAAAAAAAAGAAATTATTTTTTTATTAGGTAGGAGGGTACAATGGTAAAATGTGAAATTTAAATAAGGTAAATTTTTAAATAAATTTAAAAAAAGATTTAAATAAGGTAAATTTTAAATAAATTTTAAAAAAAAGTTAAAATTATGGTAAGAGATTTTAAATAAAATAAGTTTTCAAATAAATTTTAAAAAAAAAGTTAAATAAGGTAAATTTTCAAATAAATTAAAAAAAGAATTAAAATTATGGTAAGAGATTTTAAATAAGATAAGTTTTCAAATAAATTAAAAAAAAAAAGTGAAATAAGGTAAGTTTTCAAATAAATTAAAAAAAAAAGCAAAATAAGGTAAGTAGCCGTTATTAGATTTAAATAAGGTAAGTAGCCGTTATTAGATTTAAATAAGGTAAGTTTTCAAATAAATTTAAAAAAACTAAATAAGGTAAGTAGCCGTTATTGTAATTATATAAGGTAAATTTTCAAATAAATTTAAAAAAAGCTAAATAAGGTAAGTAGCCGTTATTATAATTAAATAAGGTAAGTTTTCAAATAAATTTAGAAAAAGCTAAATAAGGTAAGTAACCGTTATTATAATTAAATAAGGTAAGTTTTCAAATAAATTTTAAAAAAGCTAAATAAGGTAAGTAGCCGTTATTGTAATTATATAAGGTAAGTTTTCAAATAAATTTAAAAAAAACTAAATAAGGTAAGTAGCCGTTATTTTAATTATATAAGGTAAGTAGCCGTTAATCCATACATTATAAATATTCATGATTTGGGTGGAGGGGCTGCAATGCGATGGGGTGCAAGTTGGTCTTGGAGCAGGGCAGAGGTGGGGTGGGGGAGGAATGAATTACGAAGAGGTGGGGGTGGGGTACGAGTTGGCCTTGGAGCAGGCAGGGGGGGTGGGGTGGGGAGGAATGAATTACAAAGAGGCAGGGGTGGGGTACGAGTTGGCCTTGGAGCAGGGCAAGGCAGGGGTGGGGAGGAATGAATTACGAAGAGGTGGGGGTGGGGCTGCTTACAGGAGAGGGCGAGGGTCAAGTGTTCTTGGATCTCGATCGAAGCAATCTTGGTGAGTCATTTCTGATTCTTTTAATTCTCCATGTACTGCGAGTTTGAGTTCTTACGATTGCTTATCATTTTGCATCGATCGATCCTTCCTGTTTTAAGATCAAGAAGCTGCTTTGGCTGTTCCGGAAACCATAAATGGTAATTTGAATTTCAATCTCTGATTTAATATATTACTCAAGATTTTAATATGAAAGTTTGTTTATCTTGATTGACTAATTAGACCATACATACCTCATTTGAAATCATGTAATTTCTTAAGTTATTCGGTATTATTATTCTTCAACTTGTTGATATATTATTGTTCATTATGTTCTAGGCTATTAGATGCACAAGGTAACGCGAGGATCCGCGAATATCCTTCGAACTCGAAGGATATCCTATAACAGGGAGTGTCTCCTACCTTTTCTTTTAATTTACGCTTTAAATTTATTTTATTTTCTTGCATATCCCGGGACTTGCATGCATTAATTTTGTTCCTAAATTTTATACTAACTTGTTTTTTAAGTGTTTTTATTTTGTAGGTAAAGCTTATGGGAGACGAGAGGATCGGCGAATATCCTTCGAACTCGAAGGATATCTCATAATAGGGAGTATCTCCTACTTTTTCTTTTAATTTACGCTTTCCATTTATTTTATTTTCTTGCATATCCCGGGACTTGCATGCATTAATTTTGTTCCTAAATTTTATACTAACTTGTTTTTTAAGTGTTTTTATTTTGTAGGTAAAGCTTATGGGAGACGAGAGGATCGGCGAATATCCTTCGAACTCGAAGGATATCCCATAATAGGGAGTATCACCTACTTTTTCTTTTAATTTACGCTTTAAATTTATTTTATTTTCTTGCATATCCCGGGACTTGCATGCATTAATATTGTTCCTAAATTTTATACTAACTTGTTTTTTAAGTGTTTTTATTTTGTAGGTAAAGCTTATGGGAGACGAGAGGATGGGAGACGAGAGGATGGGAGACGAGAGGATCGACGAATATCCTTCGAACTCGAAGGATATCCCATAACAGGGAGTATCTCCTACTTTTTCTTTTAATTTACGCTTTCCTTTTATTTTATTTTCTTGCATATCCCGGGACTTGCATGCATTAATTTTGTTCCTAAATTTTATACTAACTTGTTTTTTAAGTGTTTTTATTTTGTAGGTAAAGCTTATGGGAGACGAGAGGATCGGCGAATATCCTTCGAACTCGAAGGATATCCCATAATAGGGAGTGTCTCCTACTTTTTCTTTTAATTTACGCTTTAAATTTATTTTATTTTCTTGCATATCCCGGGACTTGCATGCATTAATTTTGTTCCTAAATTTTATACTAACTTGTTTTTTAAGTGTTTTTATTTTGTAGGTAAAGCTTATGGGAGACGAGAGGATCGGCGAATATCCTTCGAACTCGAAGGATATCCCATAATAGGGAGTATCTCCTACTTTTTCTTTTAATTTACGCTTTAAATTTATTTTATTTTCTTGCATATCCCGGGACTTGCATGCATTAATTTTGTTCCTAAATTTTATACTAACTTGTTTTTTAAGTGTTTTTATTTTGTAGGTAAAGCTTATGGGAGACGAGAGGATCGGCGAATATCCTTCGAACTCGTAGGATATCTCATAATAGGGAGTATCTCCTACTTTTTCTTTTAATTTACGCTTTCCATTTATTTTATTTTCTTGCATATCCCGAGACTTGCATGCATTAATTTTTTTCCTAAATTTTATACTAACTTGTTTTTTAAGTGTTTTTATTTTGTAGGTAAAGCTTATGGGAGACGAGAGGATCGGCGAATATCCTTCGAACTCGAAGGATATCCCATAATAGGGAGTATCTCTTACTTTTTCTTTTAATTTACGCTTTTCATATGTTTTATTTTCTTGCATATCCCGGGACTTGCATGCATTAATTTTGTTTCTAAATTTTATACTAATTTGTTTTTTAAGTGTTTTTATTTTGTAGGTAAAGCTTATGGGAGACGAGAGGATCGGCGAATATCCTTCGAACTCGAAGGATATCCCATAATAAGGAATATCTCCTACTTTTTCTTTTAATTTACGCTTTCCATTTATTTTATTTTCTTGCATATCCCGGGACTTGCATGCATTAATTTTGTTCCTAAATTTTATACTAACTTGTTTTTTAAATGTTTTTATTTTGTAGGTAAAGCTTATGGGAGACGAGAGGATGGGAGACGAGAGGATCGGCGAATATCCTTCGAACTCGAAGGATATCCCATAATAGGGAGTATCTCTTACTTTTTCTTTTAATTTACGCTTTTCATATGTTTTATTTTCTTGCATATCCCGGGACTTGCATGCATTAATTTTGTTCCTAAATTTTATACTAACTTGTTTTTTAAGTGTTTTTATTTTGTAGGTAAAGCTTATGGGAGACGAGAGGATCGACGAATATCCTTCGAACTCTAAGGATATCCCATAATAGGGAGTATCTCCTACTTTTTCTTTTAATTTACGCTTTAAATTTATTTTATTTTCTTGCATATCCCGGGACTTGCATGCATTAATTTTGTTCCTAAATTTTATACTAACTTGTTTTTTAAGTGTTTTTATTTTGTAGGTAAAGCTTATGGGAGACGAGAGGATCGGCGAATATCCTTCGAACTCGAAGGATATCCCATAATAGGGAGTGTCTCCTACTTTTTCTTTTAATTTACGCTTTAAATTTATTTTATTTTCTTGCATATCCCGGGACTTGCATGCATTAATTTTGTTCCTAAATTTTATACTAACTTGTTTTTTAAGTGTTTTTATTTTGTAGGTAAAGCTTATGGGAGACGAGAGGATCGGCGAATATCCTTCGAACTCGAAGGATATCCCATAATAGGGAGTATCTCCTACTTTTTCTTTTAATTTACGCTTTCCATTTATTTTATTGTCTTGCATATCCCGGGACTTGCATGCATTAATTTTGTTCCTAAATTTTATACTAACTTGTTTTTTAAGTGTTTTTATTTATTAGGTAAAGCTTACGGGAGACGAGAGGATCCGCAAATATCATTCGAACCCGATTTCAAACTCAAGGTAAATGATGGTTTTAATATATATATTTTTTTCCTATGCATATATATACTAATATTTATTCTAAATCTTTTTAGATGCATATGAGAGGGAGTGGCCGGATGATCGGACGACCGAATATATCATATGGAGTAATTCGTCCATTTCCTTTTACATTGATGCATTTAATTTAATTTAGCATTATGTATATAGAAATAGATTTATTTTTACGTCGGTCCCGAGACATGTATGCATTTTATTTTGTTGCTTTTAGTGTTTTGAGTTTGTAGGTAAAGCTTATAGCGAGATTAGAGGATCCGCAAAGATCCTTCGATCTCGATTTCAAATACATGGTAAGTGGTTTTAATATAATTTTGTTCTTTCCTATGCACATATATTAATATCTATTTAAAATATTTTTAGATGCATACGAGAGAGAATGGTCGGATGATCCACCGAACATAAAACAGGGAGTTTTTCGTTATTTTTCTTTTACATTTATGTTTTGCATTTGTTTTAGCTTCTTGCATATAGTAATAGAATCATGTTTACGTCCCGGGACTTGTATGCATTAATTTTTTTAAAATTCTTAATTATCAATAAACATATTTTTTCCTAACTATGTCAATTTAGACTAATATAACTTATTTTCTAATTAAAAAAAAACACAATTTAATTAAAACTTAATATAAAAAATGTGGGCTGGCCTGGCCCGGTATAATTTGAAACCGGGTCATGCCTTGGTTTGGGTTTTCAAGCCCAATCCAGAATCAGGCCGGGCCTATTAGGCTTGAATTTTAAAACAACCCAAGACAAACCAAAAGATATTACTCTGTCCCTCGCAAAAAATGCACTTATTTTTTGCATATCGGAATGAGTAACATCAGCCTGAAATTGCCACATTTTATTTTTTTTGCTAAATATGATGTCTACTTTCTCAAATTATAGAAGCGACATACCTTAAAATTTGAATACACCGATATGCTGAAGAATCAACTTGACTTCGACGGCCCTCTGCTCCAGCAGCCAGTCGGGATCCTCGGCAGTTTTCGGTTGCAAATCCAAGTGATGGGCACCTACCAACCAACCAAGACAATAATATGAATGTAATTTGCACATAATTAAACACCATACATACTGACGCTTAACTTTTAACACGACATAAATGTTGAACTCTCGTAATCTCTCCTTAATGTTAGTAGCTCACTTACTAACTACCCAAACTACTAAGTTCATCTGTGTAAACTTATAATTACACTCAAATACACCACTGAACTCTACATGCATAAAAGCATGGAATAAGACACCTCTCAAACTCCTATTTCACCAGAAGATTTATTTTATTGCATAATATTTATTGAAACAACGATAAAAGCAAAATAATGATGTTTAATTAGGGCAGCAAAGATTGAAATCTGGTTCTAGTGCAGTTACCTTTTTATGTTACAAGAGCTACAATGGTTTCTGATACAGACTCCAAAACACTGCAACAATATCATCAGTTTTGTCAAGAATCAGTAGTCGATGACTATTATACATACACAGATAAACAGCAAAGATCTTACCTTCCGCCGCTTCAGGGGTCCAATAGCCCATTGGAGAAAATGATATTGCTTCCAAAGTTTCCCAGGACTTTCTTGAATCCCTTTATTATTGAAAAAATTGAAAGAAAGAAGGGTTAATCACTTTTGAAGTCCCTCGTGTGACAATCTAGCCTATGGTACTTAAAAAATTAACAATATAATCCTTGTGTTCGACATTTGTCATTTTCTCCATTAACTGGTATGTTGGCTAACAAGGAAAATCACATTAGAAGAGCACATATAATTATATACATATATATATATGCACATACATGTCCACCAAATTCAGTAGTTATCCAGTTAGGTCTGGGCTTGACATGATAACTCTCAAAACACCACTCTACCATGGAAGAGTAGTTATAGTCGTATGTTGGAAACATGCTACCATTCCTGCTGCTAGACATAGGCATTACCATCTCGGTGCAGGCCTACAAATTTAAGCAAACAATTACTTTTAAGTTATACAAGAATGTGCACATGAAGTGAGAAAACATTAGCAAAGTCACACCTGTCAATTCCACCCACTCATAATGATGGAATATCAAATAACAAACTAAACAGACAATCAAACCTCCTTAATTGGATTTCCAGGCAACGGCATTAGAAAGTCCGACGGGTATGGATAGTTTGCCATTGCCAAATAACTATAAGCCGACTCCAGCCAGTCATAAAGATCATCAACACTCTTCAGTTTCCTGCCAATTCAACTTCATTCACAAATTCCACAAAGATAGCTACAGCGAAGAAACCTCCTAACCAGGTACTAATAAACTTATTTCAAGAAAACGATTTGAACTAGAAAATGTAGTTCATACATCCTTACCTGCAAAAACCAAAAGCTTCAGTCAAATAAGAAAGCCCGTTACTTTTCTGTGCCTCGGTTTCTACTGCATCCCATGATTCTTTTATAGTATTAAAGCAGCTAACACTCTCACGCTGCCGAGGAAAGAATCAACAGTACTTCAGAAGAAGAGCCTATTCAAATCTAAGGAAAATATAACAAGCAAAAGTAAAAGCATACTCCGAAGCCATTAGAGACAATATCGTAAAATGTCACCGGAGGCACAGCATCCTCAAATTGAAGCACTGGCGCTGAAGAAGCGAGCGCCCCAATGGCAATGTGGGGATACTTCAGCCTCATCCACGCAGCCAACACTATGTCAAAGACTCATCATGTAGGCAATAAACTTACAAAAAAAAAAAAAAGAAAAAAACAAATGACTGTAAATTATAGTCTAAAGCCAAAAAACAGAAAAGGAATTGCACATACTTCCACCGTATGATCCACCAAAAAGCACCACAGGACAAGCTTGGGCAGACAAATTCCTCTTCAAGTCAGTGATCAACACAGCAAAATCAGCAATGAGCTAGCGTGGTTACATTCTTATAGGCCACCTCCTTACTGCCATACGGCATCGACTCTCCAAAGTACCTATGCTGTCAATACAGAGCATTCTGATCTTACCAAAAGCATTGCCAATTTTACCCTAATTCCTCAGTAACAAGAAATTATTTATAATCTCTCAAGCAGCCATTACAATGTCTGCTTCTTGAGTGTATTGTTTGCAGTCAATAAAAAAAACTAATTTATATAAATCTACGATAGTTCGTTAACAACTTCACGCACAGGAATCTCAATTTTTACAGCTTGCCCAACGTGTCTGGAATGGGACCGCTGAAACTGTTCAAGTACAGGTCCAAGCTCACCAAATTGATAAGATTTCCGAGATCGCCGGTAATTGGCCCACTAATGTTGTTACTGTACAGCTCCCTATCACAACCAAGCAACCGACAGGCGTGATGTCAGATCATTTGAGGCAAAAAGCTTACGATGAGTTAACTGCATAGGTTTGAGCTCACAAACTTTTGAAATTTATAGGTGAGTGCACGTGTGCTTGCGTATGCACGGGTTGATGTGATAAATAGAAAGCATAAAACAAGATACAATACTTTGCATTGCACGAGTAAGATTGAGTTAGTGTGATTGCAGATCACACTAAAATCAAATGTTGATATTCAGTCGA